GGTTGGGGGGGGGGGGGGGGCGATCAGATAAACATCTGAACAGGTATGGCCATCAATTTTACCTTCAGCGACTTCTTCAAGCTCTTGCTTTCATTTTGTACGCCATGTAGAATGCTCAATCCATACAAAATGCTGCAGCATATACATCAAAGGAAATGTTAATACAAGAAAAGAGTTGACATTTTATAGTTAATGATGGGGAAAAAATGAGAAAAAAAAACCTTTCAGAAGATATAAGAATTTTGGAATCATTGACAGAGGCTTCAGAACAATGCATGAAGTGGTGACTCAAAGCCCATCCCACTACTTTCTCCACACCTGTTCAAGTAAAATAATAGCACCAGTGAAATATTGCAGTTCAATGTTAATATCAATACCCAAAAAATAAAAAAGAAGGTGAAGATATGCAAGAGTTGAGTCAAGAACCCTTACTTTCAGTTGTAAGGGCTTGATCTTTAAGGCACACAGTTTCTAGGTCAGGGCAACACAAACCAACTCGGCTGAGAACCTACACATCATGTGCAAAGTAAATAACCAGATAACAAACACAGAAACAAAAATCTATTTTCTAATTTCTCAAATTTAGAAAATCAAAAGAAATGAAACAAAATATACAGGTAAAGTAAGAAATAAAGCAGTGTTAAGTTTAGATCTTCAACCTGATCCATATAGATTGGATTGGAATAATACCTAGCTTCAAGAGAACTTGTGTATCTCAGCAAAAGAAAAAAAATGGTCATTCTTCATGGCCATTCTAAATCACAAAGTCTGACCAAGAAATTCTAAGATGCTCAAGCAGTAACTACCAACACTTACAACATATGAGAGTGAGTGAGAGAGAGAGAGAGAGAGAGATGACAGGGAATTAAAAATAATTTTTGAGAGGAGAGATATTCTTATCACTTTTGGTGAACCCAGATGTGATTCTCTCTCCTTGTGTTTCTCTCTCATATGTTGTAAGTGTTGGTAGTTACAGCCTAAGCACCATGAGGACCTAACTAGAAAACAATTATTTCTTTTTCTGAGTGAGTACGAAAATGTATGTGTTTGGATGTCACGCACAAGTATAAAATGAATCATCATTTGACCACTTGCAGGGGCACATCAGACGGAGTGAAACTGAAAAATTATCAGAGGACCAAACTAGAGCAAACAATCCTTGATTCTAAGCATGGAGGCATCTGTATGTGTTTGGATGCCATGGGTGAGAATAATGCTATTTCAACTGCATAAGGGTTGGCTACCGTACATATATTAAAGGAAATCCTTGCAAGACAGAAGCAACTGCCATTTATGACATAGGAAGTAGGAAGGTGGACATAACAGTTCACAATACAGAAGCAATTATACTTACTGAACGAAAGCTAAAAATGTTGGCTTGTGCTTTCAGAGTTTCAATATCACGCTCCAACTGCTGTTTCCAGTCCACAAGCAATGCTTCATCCTGCCAGGATGCTCAAAAACGTTGGCTAAGACATTCAAGGGTTGGAGAAAATGAAAAAAGCTTGACTTGATTATAAACTGAAGCAGGAACAATACCTGTGGCAACTGTACTGTTACTTTGTTTGGGAAAAGTCGTGAGAGCTGCTTCATTGCTTTGGGTGTTTCTTTGCTCCTATCACTCGGTCTTCCAATGCTATCCTGAATTAGAGGCTATACTCGCATCATTTTAATTCTTCAGTCATGTGAAACTAATGTAAATGACACAAAACAACCAGTATGGAAGCTTTTGACTCTAATTGCATATAAGAGGAAACTTTAATTTTTATTGGGGCCAAATTTTTATTGTGGCCAGAGAACAAAAGAGCAAATGAGAATTATCTATAAGAGCTGTGTAAAGCACTCAGATATTTGATCACCTCACCATGGCACTCTTGGTCTGGTCATGCTATGGATAGAAGTTAAGCTTTATACCATGTGAAAAACTGCATCAGATGCAAGAGAATCATGCATAACAAATTTTACACTAAAAAGGATTAAAGGAAAATTGCATCCATGCGAGGATACTGAAGAGAGAGTAATCCATCCATACTAAAGAGACATGTAGGAGGCTGGCATGGATTCTTTTCTTGTCATTATGAGTCCTATTTAAGTTTTCCATGTCTTAAAGCTTATCGCAAATCAACTTCTAGGGATGCTTCATGGAAATGAATCATTTTTTGCAGTAAATGCCAATCATGAAAGCTAATGACTTGATTTAATATGGAAAGTCAAAATCCACTAGCTTGACTTGTCTTTATAGCATTGTAAGTTTCTAAGTCAAATCATAAATATTGTGTGTACTAGAAGTTCAGATCTAATTGTTCGAATTCAAAACACTTATATATCTTGCTGTGCAATCTTTTACCATTATTTAGGTCCAAAAGGGAGCCTTCCTTTTTTTTTCTGCATTCAGAAGAATTCTTGCAGAAACCCAAGAAAGTCAACCATCATATCATCACCGATTAAGTCCTAATCTAATTCCTAAATTAGCCAAGGCATAAATATCAGTCACATCTACATCTCCTAAAAGGGAGGATATACACAAAATTATCCTCTGCCAAAACTATCAAACTATGTATAAAAAATAAAAAACACAACATCAAAATATGCTTGAACTGATCAATAGCGCAATAAAAGGTGGCAACAAACAACATATATGAGAGCAATCCAAATAAATCACTGGTACATGCTTCCTAATTTAAGCCCTTTCTGATCCATAAAATCATTAAAAGCATAATTGTAAAATTTGCACCAGAAGGATATGCCTAACACAAGCCTGGATGATAATACGATTAATATTCATAGCTATTATCAAGCTATATCTTCTTAAATACAGCTCATCACATACAATGACAGCTAAGCCTTATTCCCATACTAGTATATGCAAATTAATGAGTATCCAAGTAAACAAACACAGCTATTATGATAAGAGCTTGTTAATTTAGTAAGCTCTTATCTCTATATGCACACATGCCCCGTGAAAGGGAGAGAGAAAGACTAATAGCACATCAGGCATCAACCATAATGCTTTTGAGAACACGAACATGGAGTAGAAAAAACAAAAATAGCTCATAACCATTATGGCAATCCTTTGCATACCGGAAAAGCAAGATCAAGTAATGCAGTGTGGTTGCCGCCAAACTTCGTAAATAGAAGACCACCAGCATGGGACTGTAACATAACAAGTCATAGAAAATGTAAATATATATTGTCAGGATATAGAAAAACTTAAAAGTATCAAATAGAAAAAATACAAATACAGGTACCAGAATAACTGCCAAAGGATTACCTTCTCCTTACGATTGTCAATCTGGGTATGGGAGCCCATTACGATAACTTTCTCTGGCAAATTCTCAAGCTTACTCTTTAGGGAACTGTATGCATCTTGATTTCCCACCACAGACTTCTCTAAGTCTTTCAAAAACAAGATTAGGGGGCCATTTTTACTTTCATTTAAAGCAACCTATGAAACATCCAAAAAATGAGCTTGGGGCCTTATATGAGAAAAAGAAGAAAGGAGCAACAAACATTACTCAAGTTAAAGTAGCAAGGACCTCAAAGAGCTCATTAATAGCAAGCCTGTCAACATCTTCTCCTCCAGAACTATCCAAACGAAGTGAATTAGCTGAGAGAAAAGAAGGCATTAGTGATATTGGATGATGTTCTGCTGCAAACAAACACCATCATCTAATTATCTAATAAATCAGTAACACAGTCTAGATGGTTCAAGAACACACCTGTACAAAAGAAACCATGATCCTCTTCACAACGACCACCCAGGTCATTGCCTTCTGGGATGGATTGATCAAATCTAACACCAATTTTATAGGAGTTGTTTCCTTCAAAAGCAAGGACCACCTTGCCTCGTAAACCAATTGTCGGTTCCCTATCGAGAGAAAAAGTTCAAAACAAAACATAATGAGATTTTTGTTTTTACAAAAACTATGCATCTGGTTGAGTGTATGGTATTCAGGAAGGCTGGGGATTTTTTTAATACAGTTCAAGGTACAGGCTCTTGTAGCATATAATCAAGAAGCTTGGATTCAAGAGAGAATTAAAGTCCCATGTACTTGGGAGAGATATAGTCATTAAATTGAAAGGAACCCAACTAATAATATGAAAATAGGACACCATAAGAAAAGAAAGAAAAATACTTTAAAGGAGGCTGCAAAGAAGAAATTGCAGATGCCAAGGAGGTACCCACAAACTTTACTCTGTCACCTGCAATTTAACAAACTGTAAGTCAGATAGCAATTTAGGTATTAACTCTTAAGGTAGTCTATGAAACAGCAGCTACAGGACAATTAAAAAAATAAAAATGCTGCTGTTACAAAAGCAAAAATGCCTGTTTTAAACGAGTAGTTTTTGGATGATGCAGTTGAAGTTTCCTGCTTTGGCCGGGCATGAGAACCAAATGTAGAGCAACCAGTTATACCAGCCTCCACACTAGAAGTAGGTTTCTTAGTTAGTAATGCTGCCTGCATGGCTCTTTTGGCAAATGCAGAGACTCTTTCTGATTTTAAACTTTCTCTAGAAGAATCAGCTTCTTTGTGTATTGATCCCTGAAATTATTAGAAAGCAGTATGAGAAGAAATTAGAACACCATAAAACATGCATATTTGGCGCTCCAAAAAAGCAACATGGCCTAATATGAATGGAAATTTGTGGGAGACATAGCCTCAGAAGCAGTGAAACATGCTCAAATATAAATATGAAGAACAAAAAAGAAGATTCTGAAGATATCCAAAAAGCTTACACCAGGCAATTGAAGTGAATCCACAATCAGTAGTCTAGCACCAGCATCTTTGGCAAGTGCCTTTGTCAGAGTCTCCTGATATATTTCAGAGCCTGCAGCAAAATTTCACAAGAACAGGATCTAATAACGATGAAGGTACAAAATAAAGCAAAAATATATATCATAAAGCAAATAAGCGAGGGGCTACCTGCAGGACCAGATAGTAACATGCGTGGGGACACAGTAGGGAGATCACAAGCAAACTTTGCAACTTTGTTACCACATTTCAGATGGATGAATGCAGCACCAATCAAAACTTTCTTAGTTGTATCACTGTAAGAGGGCTCAGGGTCAGTAAAAGTACCAATTTGGTCCAGCACAGCAAGACATGAGATAACAAAAATAAAATTGTTGATTTGTTTATTAAGAGCTTGATTGAATTGGTGATTTTTGTGGAATTCCACTCAATTCATTGCCTTTTGCCAGTTCCTTAATCCATTAGTCAATCAGAGTATAATTGAATTGAAAAGGTGAATTACATACATGTGCTAATCCTGCCTCTCTATGGCCTAAAAGAGGTTAGATCATGCCAAGAAACAGTAATAATATCAAGCTGTTTTTAGATTGGTTAGCACATGTTTTTGTCCTTATGTTTTAAGTCAAAAATGACAGAGACATGTACAGCATGAATAATTTCCACACTGAAATGAATAGCATTCAACAATAAATATTTTACACTACTACTTGACAAATGAAAATGTGCACCTTAGATAATATGGGAAATTGTCGAATGAAACTTCAATCTCTTCAGGGTTTAGAATTCCTTTTTGTAAACTATCCTTAAACAACTGCCGTCTAGTGGACATTAGAACTGGTGGAGGATCAAGATCCTTGAGGAATTCTCTCCTTTCCCTCTCATCAAATATTTTATCAAATTCAGAAGATGAACCTGCAAGCATCCGCAACAATGGCTTTAACTCATAAGTTGAATTTGGAATCCTTCCAATAACTGCATTTGTACAAGCACCCAATCTCATGCTATCAGCATTGGCATTTTCATTGGCAGCATTAGAGGAAGGAGCAACAGGTTTCTCGCTTGGGGAAACATCAATGGGATCCTTATTGCTTGTGCCATCCTTCATTTCAACATCTGGAACATGATCTTCGGATGCTTCGCAGCCAGAAGGCAAGGTGGAAAAATCTGTATTTTGCTGCCCATCCTCACCAGTTTTGGCAGCAGGTGGAAGAAGATGTGACAAAGAAGCCAATATTGATGCGCCTGCATAATCTGAGGGGTCTCTAGACCTTGTCTCACTGTGAATCCCTTTTATAGGAGCACTCTGGGCTTCTAAGATGCTCACAGAAGGCATGCCTGGTGTGCCTAAGCTATTGCTTGTTAGCTGCTGAAATATCTAAAATTCCCATTAAGGAATTCAATGATCCTTAGAGGAGGTGATGGACATTTAAGTCAAATAATTTAAACATGCAAAATCTAGATAGGAATTTTCCTTCTATGCTTTCACAGAAACAGAACAGTAATACAAACAACAAAAATAATAATACATAAAGCCGCATAATTTTGCCAAAGGCAAAGTGAAGGAAAAAGATACATATGCATGTTTTCCAGAAGTAGTGAAAATCACTTCATCGCCACCATTTAATGCTACAGTTTCATTCTTTTGATAAAGTTTACCATTTACTTGGACTGCTCCTTTTCCCCCAGTGATTTCCAATAAGGCAATAGGTGCACCTCCACGCTGCAGGGCGATTATAAACAGATTAACAAAGGAGGTGCAGGGTTGGATTGCATGATGATGGAAAATGATGCAGTGTCTTACATTGATGAATAAATTTTTCTTAATTAACAAGTTAAAAAAATAGAAATTAGACAGTTCAGAGAGTACTACCTCTATGTGCTTCAGTTTGCATAAAATAGTACTGATGGATGAATCATTAAGCCATAAATTGCATTGTCGGCTTTGACCAACAGTGAAAAGAGTGCTATTTATCAGCTTGTGAGGGTTCTGCAATGAATAACAAACTTAAAAGCATCAGAAACAATCACTTGTTCAGTTCCACAAAATATGGTAAAACATGAAGAGCAAATTTCAGAAATCTGCCTTTAGGACAAAATAAGTAAACAAAATTCAGCACTAGCTTTCCAGTTATTGTCATGACTTGGAGAATGACAACTCTTCTGAAGCCCGCTTTCCATTTTTTAACAATAAATTAACAATCATGGCATTGGGGAATTAAAAAGAAAAAAAACATTTATTAGCATGCTCGACATGAATTTTTGTTTCAACAGCAGCTTATATACTTGAAAAGCAACTAAATGACCTATATTATCTCCAAGATAACAAGAATATATGACAAACCTTACCAAACAGAGAGATGAACCACATAACTGAAATAAGCCAAAAAAAAAATCCTGAAACTCCATTCCCTCCCCTTTCGAAATAAATTCTACCCAATTTTTCCTAGGTAACAAGCTGAAAATAAATAGACAATTTGAGACCCTCACTGGACAGCACTTGAAACCTCACAGGACAAAGCTCCAATCAAATTTCCCCATATATTTTTCCAGACAGCAACACATACGGAAATGAACAAGACCTTTTTGTAGAGCACTTAAATACCCTGTGAGACACGGTCCCAAGTACCTTAAAGTTTGACATTAACATCAATAAAATGCCTTAATCAAACGCACACTCACAACCTGCATAAAATGCATGCAACCATGGAAGAAGCCACCAACTCACAAAAAAAAAATTGCTCTTAAATTCACAATGATATAGATAAGCCTGAATCATCTCAACTAGATTCACAAAATACTACCCTAAGAAATCCAAAGACTCGAAACATGGTAAGCTGCCAAAGCAAGGGTTTATTTATTAGGGAGCTGCCTGGCAATAAAGATCGAAATTTTTCACCAAAATAATTTCCAAGCAACAAGTTCAAATTAGTGTCAACGATGTATTAAGAAACCCGTAGAGTGACGCCATCACATGCTATAAATAATAAGCTCGCTAAACATTGTAGAACAACTTGACTGTCTATAAAACCAAGGCAGGTGAGATTTTCACAACATGCAGACCCAGTGGGAAGCTAATATCCTAGAATTATAAAAACAAAACTCTAAGTGACAAACATGAAATCCAGCAGTACAACATCCAACTAAATTAAAAGCTTTAAATTTATCATCTTTTGGTAAATAATAAACAGATCACTAAAATGAAACAGCACACAATCAAAAAATAAATAGATCACTAACATGAATCACCACACAATCACCTGTGAACATTGGGACAGCAATTGGCCCCATGCAGCCTTGGCATTAGACTTTACTGATTTTGGTACTCGCTTCTTTGACTTGTTCAGCACTACTGCACCTTTGGATTTCTCTCCATTGGCAGTGACTTCATCTAAAATCAAAACAACTACTGAACATAAACAAAATAACACCAATCTGTTTTCAAAGAAAAAACAGAATAGAAACAAGATCGCACCTAAAGACACCAATTCCTCGGCTTGAGTCTCCTCTCCAGACTTAGTAACCTGCAAATCTAATTCAGACCCGGAATCCTTTTCCTGACTTGTATTTTCTATCGGCAGTACCGGTGTCGGTACATCGCTGGTCGAAGATGATACCTCAGATGCAGCAGCAGCAGCAGCCGCCTATGTTTCAATCAGCAACCGACAATTCAAAAATTAAAATGCATATCACCGATTTAAAAAAAAAAAAAACAAATCTAAAACGAATATATAGACATGGAGAGAGGGGATACTTTGCATCTTTTAGAAGAGGGAGGAGGAGAAGAGGGAGGAAGGGAGCGTTTGGAGGAGGAGGAGGAGCTGCGTCTGGTTTCAACCATATTATTGCTGTCGTTTTGCTTTCTGCTGCTTGGTCGTTTTGATTCAAAAGAGGTTTGGTTGCTCGCTTTGATTGAGAGAATCGACGGAGAGAGAGTTTAAAAGATTTAAGAGAGATAATTTATGAATAACTTTAAATAAGAAAATTATTCTATATTCGATTGAAAAAAAAAAAGAGGTTATGGTTATTAAAAAAATGAAAAAAAAAACAAAAATAACATAAAGAAAAATAACAGTCGATTGGTGAAATCTATAATACTAGGACGGGGTTTTTTAAAATATCATTTATAATTATTTTTTAAAATATTTTTTATTTAAAATAATATTAAAATAATATTTTTTTATTTTTAAAAAATCATTTTTAATATTAACATATCAAAATAATCTAAAAATATTTTAAAATAAAATTTAAATTTTTTAAAAGTATTTTTAAAACACAAAAATAAACTAAAAATATAATAAATATAATTAATCCATTTAGTTTGCAAACATCCCACATTGAATCCTTACCTTATTTAAAAATAAAAATAATTGGGGTAGTGAATTTAATGTAAACCTGAATACACCTAAATACATGTAACTGTGGTCGTTAATAATATAATTACTAATCTAGCCTTTTAAAAAAGCCAATAAGCTTGGTATTAGGAGGAATTTGGTTCTTTTTATAATAAATAGTTATTATAGAATTGATAAGAGGCTATTTAATTTAAAAAAAAAAGTATATAGTAAGGATTATATTACATTTAAAACAAAAGTTTTTAAAAGATTGATGAGAGATAATTAAGTATTTGTATCTTTCATATGAACAATTTTAAGACTTTATTACTTTTAAATGCAAAATTGTTAAAAGGATTTAAGGGTTATTCAATCTTTTTATATTTTTCAAATAAAATATAAAGATTATATTATTTTTAAAAGTAAAAATTATCAACCTAGTATCTAGGGATTTTTTTATTTTATTTTTTGCATTTTCCAATTGGGTTTTGAAGGATTAAGAAGTTTCATCCTGTTTGAATAAAATTAAATGTTGAATTAAATTCAATTTTAAAAATGATTTGAATTTAATTAATAATTTACTACAATTTTTATATTTGGAATGAAATACTAATTTAACAAAACACTTCTTTGTTCAAGTTAACCAGCAATTAAACTATCATGTGACCTCCCAACTAAAATTTGTGAATAATAATAATAATAATAATACAACCACAGCAGCACCTGCCCCATCTCACTCATCACGACGAGATTAATTTTGTTTTTAATCATAAATGTTTGAATTAATTTAACCATATTTTGATGAGATTAATATTTAAATATCTTAAAGTTAATAATTATATATATATTAGTAGTTTTGAAATTTATAGAGCTCAAATTAATAATTTTTAAAAAATAAATTTAAAATCTAATTAATTAAAGTTATATTTTAAAAAAACAAATCTAAAATCTAATTAGTTAAATAATTCCCTTTAAAATTTTGTAAAATTGAACAAGATTAAAACTCATTTTTTATTTATTTACATGGAGTATCCGGGTACCACGACTAATCCCCGTGGCCCACTGAATACCCTATAAATTTAATAAAAATATAAAACACCACGAAAATGATAAATATATATACTAGAACTCAAACCCAAATACAATAAAAAGAGACGAGCCCTTCAATTTCCTACATTATTGCTATTATTTTGTATGCCTAACCCACTACTAAGCATACGCACTTCCCAGAAAAAAAAAAAAAAAAAAAAACCCCCCCTAAGCATACCCCCTCCCAAAAAAAAAAAAAAAAAAAAAAAAAAAAGTAACCAAGAAACAACATTTCAAGGGATATTCTGGCCAAAGGCCATCGTCAAAAACCTTACAATCATTAAAAGTCATTTAAACTGAAAAATCAACAAGAAAAAAACTACAATCATCAGTAAGCCACGACCCCATTGGTTGAGACAACTGGCTCACCAATACTCTCATCAAACACCTTAGCAATTCTCTCAATCGGGATCAAAGGCAGGTATAATGCTATCGTGTAACCCACCTCGGCTGCAGAACCAACCACCTGGTTATACTTTTCAGACCAGAAAGCAGCTGTGGGGACTGCAATTTGAGCCACTTGAGGGAAGAGTGGAAGTCGATTCAGTGAGCGCCAAGCCAACACTGCATACTGCTCGGCGACTGGTTCATACTTGGAGTACAACTCCCTGGCCGTGGGCTCGTACTTGCTATACATCGTCTTTGTAATGTTCATCGCCGCATCCACCACGCCTGTGCGCTGAATTTCATAAGCTACAGCTCGAGCTTGGATTGACACCCGCTTCACATGCGATGGGACTTGCCTGTCTAGCCCCCTCAAAGACTCGTCAATCTGCATTCCAGGAGTCTAAATGATACTTCGTCTCGTACATGCATTAATTAAGGAATTTCAAGGATATGGTTAAAGTTTTTATTTGAAAATATATTAAAATAATATTTTTTATTTTAAAAAAATTAATTTTTATATTATTGTATTAAAACAATTTAAAATATCAAAAAATATTAATTTAAATTAAATTTTTAAAAAATATTTTTTTAAAAAAAAAATAAATTAAATATAAATTCAAAATACAGACAAACAATTAAAAAATTATCAGATTCTTATAAGCGAAACGCAAATCAAATATAAATTCAAAATACAAAAAAAACAACTAAAAAATTATCAGATTCTTATAAGCGAAAGCACCCTATTTATCTTATTATTGAATTAAAAAATAAAAAAGACGAGCACATACCTTTTCTTATATATAATAGGCTCTTAAATATTACATGTTTCTTTAAGAGTTCGTTAATTTATAAGCCATTATTACAAAATAGAGCCTATCTCGATTTTAAAACATAAGCCTCAAGAAGTACGAACAGCTGGAAGATTTAAGAAAGTGTTCATCTTCAGAGAAACTATAATCAATTACTACAGGCATTTGTTTTTTGAGATTTACCCCTCAATTTTTTAATTAAAAAAATCAATCACACACGTTGATATAATTTAACGATGGTGCATTCCATTAATAGTAACTAGAATGGTTAATTCTTATAATTATCGAGATTAGTTCAAATATTAGCACTTAAATCAAGAGATATAGATGACGGGAAATAGATTTGTAATTTGCAGTGAAACAGACCTTGCGATCGACGAATTTGAGAAGCTGGAAAGGGACCCCATAAAACTTGTCGCAGACCGGTCCAATAACAGTTCTGACGGTGTCCTCAACAGTTCGGACTCCCGGTTTTAGTGGACCTGAATTTTCCTTGGCATATCTATAGACGCTTGAAAAACAAACCACCATGTAGATCGCCGCCACTTGAACGAAATCTAAATACTTCAGGTTTTTCTCGTCTCCTGCAACCTAATTGAAGGTATTCATCAGTACACTACCAGCATATCACTATAATCTTAACCGAACACACACATTAATGATTCTAGCTTTTGGTAACAAAGATTGGGCTGCTTCGGATCAAAAGATACGTAGACAGGGAATCCTAAGGAGTGTTCTTAACAAAAAATAAAAATAAAAATAAATAAAAGATAAACCTCTGCATAACCTAGCATCCATATTAGTAATATCTTTGAAAATAAAAACGGAGAGAATTAAAGAGAGAGCAAGTGGTGCTGCATAGATAAGCTGCGGTTACCATCTCTGCTGGCTGTTTGGGTTCTGATTCCGCCATTTCCTTGATGTTACAAGACCTATGGAAGATTAGGATTTGGGGTGGAAAGGAATACAAGAGCGTATCTGAGCGTTGCAACGGCTCCCCTCTTTATAGGGATTCTATTTCTTGTCTCCTATCACCTACAATGCCATTATACAGGCAGCCTGTACTGTGTGGGTTGGGTATTTCCGATAATTGCAGCGTATTTGTTACATCAACTTTTTATTATATTTCAATTTAGTATACGATTCTTAGTTTCTTACATTCTGGTACATCAACTTTTTTATTGTGCCAATCAAGTAATTATGTAATAAGAAGATCCTTTCGTTTTTTCAAATTCCAATACCACATCAACGAGTAATCATTTATTTATCGAAAATTAAGAAATATTTTATAATTAATTAAAGGGAATAAATTAATTGTTAAAATATTTGTAATATCATTATTTTAACTAAGTGAATTGACACTTATATGAGATGGTTATTTGTTTTTGTTATTTTACAATTTATTTTTTATGATTAGATAATACAATTTAATCGTAGAATTCATATTTATTAATGTTTAAAAAATGCTTTATCATTAATTATAAATAATAAATTCATTATAAATAAAATCACAATTAAAATACACGTCTCAAGCAAAAAGATTTCCGAAATTACAATACTGGGATTCAGAAAAAAAAAAAAAAGAACGGTGGAAAATCGGTGTTCCTAATTTCCCCGTTATCATATGGATGACAGTGTATGCGTCGAGTCAAAACAAGCGAGTGTTGTCCACTTCACATCTTTTGATGAGCGCGGGTTCAATACGTGTATTCTAATAGACACGTGGAGCGCAATGGTCAGTGCGGTGATCTTATAAGGTATTTGTAGAAGACGTGGCATTATCCAGTGGCACAGTTCTCGATACATGTTATTATTATTATTAGTATTATTATTATTATTGTGATAGGAAGATATATTCTTCTGTGCATGGCAGTGGCGCGGATGGACTGGTGGCAATTTTCTTCTCTAGTTTGGTCTTGTTTTTTTTTTTTTTTTTTCCCTTCCGAAAAGGTAGATAAATATAGTGTATTTAACAATTATGCTTATTTTTAATACTGTAGTTTGAAAAAAAATATATGTATTTTTAGTTATTTCTAATTAGATTCTATACATGTTTAGCTAAAATTATTGGTAACTACAAAGTAATTTAAAAAAATTTGATTGAAATTGATGATTAAAGTGCTATGATTAAAAATAACTAAAAAAATATAGGTGGTGATTTCATAATTTCAAATTAAATAAAAAGAGTACTATTATTAATTAATAAGAAATACTGTGAAACAACATTAAGATACTAGTTTTGTTATTTTATTAAATTAATTGCAATTCTATTAATAATAAAATTCATTTGTAATGTAACATTTCAATAAAAAATATTATTAGAAATAAACGATCAAAATTTATAAATGCATAATTT